GTTGGCTTTAGAGATACACCGCCTAACGGAGCGACACCATCCGATCCCTTTTTATAGACAATTTTCGTAAACTATCGGCTTCGTCTTTCAATATTGCCCTGACATGGCGCTGGGTGCACAGCTTTCCTTCTCTCTGCAATCTTTCCTCTTTTGAATGAGAACCTGACCGATCTCATGGCTGCTGTGTTGCAAGAGGCAAGAGCAGTACATGTTGGCTGACTTTTCGACGAGTGTAAAAGGCGCCTGAACTCCCAGTGCGACAGCAATCTACCCCAAGCGTGAACACATGACCGAAATGCGCTCTGTTAACTGGTTTTCAATTAGGCCGCCGTTGTAACGAAATGCTAAAAAGCATTAGGTGTTTTTTGATTGATGGTCATCTCGGTTGCAGTGTGATGAAGAACGAGCTTTCTTTGCGGCAACTTTTCTGCCGTTGTCAAGGAGAAAATGACTTTCCCGATCAACCAATGGTCAGGAAGGGGTAAAAGAGATGGAGTATGTACATTGGCCCCAAAAAAGGGAACGATAAGCGGTATCCTGGATTGCCGTCGTATGGAAGTGTTGATACGACAAAATAATGATTCAGCAGAATCCAAAGTACGGTCACCGTTAGTAACAGCTGTACTCCTGACCGCTTCGTAAAAACAAAATGAAGGTTTGTACAATAGATGACAAAGCAATCGATGGAACTGTTAAATGATCATGAAGGTGAGAAAAAAATGTCACTCACTTGAACCCTTTCCCCCTTCCCATACAATCATAGCAGGTCTTGCATGGTGTTGTAGTAGGAGGTGGATCGCATTGTAGGAAAATACATTGCGAGTATACTCTAAAATAGTAAACTATGAAGATACAACGTAGTAAGAGGCTTTGTGATGGTTTTTGATTACAGTACTTCTGCTCCTCAAAGTTGACTTTTCTTTTTCCTCAACGGTCAGCAACACTATTCCATCAAGAGCAAAGGATTCTGTTGCTAGCCCTCGACCACTTTGTGATGTAAGGGTATAAATCAAATCAGACATAATCAGAATGACCTTTCTCCTCAGTCTTCTCTCGTTCCTAGCTTGCACTTTGGGAAACGTGATTTAACATTTGAACTTGTTCTCCACCAAGAAAAGTAGTAGCAACAGTAAGAAGGGATTAGTCGACAACCATGGCCTTAGTATGGCCAATTGAGGGGCCGAAGGAATGTTGTAAAAAGATACGTCCTGGATTTTTTTACACTCACAGCTAAGTCGAAAGACGAAGTACTCTGGGGCAACATGGCCTGTGGTAAGATTTTTGCCATCAAAACATCCATGCTATTTTCTTTTTTGAAAAATTTAAACTGCAGTAATATTATAGGCTATCAATGTAAATGCATCGTATATTAATATGTACATTGATATGAAAGAATACTACTTTCATATAATATGACGACATACCTTTTGACCTTTTGACGACAATGGTACCCAATCGTGGGTGCCACTGTGACTGGCGCATGGGACAATGGCACCTAAGTTGGGTTCCAACCGATTTTCTTTTGCACGTTCAAACTTTATTCAATATTTTCAAATTTATTAACAAACTTTGTAGTATTGATATTCAGCATGGTCCAAATGGATGTTTTATAAAAACTTATTTATTACAAATATATATAATCAATGGGGTACTACCGAAAGAACCTAGGGACTTTAGTAAGATTTGTGTACGACCTGGAAGCTTTGCAGACAGTAGAGAGGAGGCCCTTATTGTGACCTCCCGGCCAGATTCAACATGGCAGTCGTGAAAGTATAAATTCATACCCAACAACCTCGAATGTTATATGAGTTCCTACTGCTTACGTCACTCCCAGAATTCTACCTACATTACTTCCGAACCCAAACTCCTTTTCTGAGTCAGTTGCGAATAAAGGAAAAGATAAGGTCCCGATCCTCCTATTATACGGCGATATTGTTGAATTTAGTGAGCCAGTGAAAAGACTTTCTCTAAAGACGTTGGCACCTTCCGGTGGGTGTCAGTCGGCATGAAAGACAGGGGGTGTTCTCCCATGGGCGCAACACGTCGAAATGCACAGTGTGGTCAAAAGGTTAATTTCTTTGCACTATTATGTCCCATGTAACAGCATGTCACTGCGATCGTAAGGCTCCTATCTATCGGAAGTCAATGTTTTGTAGGGGGCTGAATATCATGAGTACTGGTATTGCTAGTTCCGCCTGCTGTGGAACAACCCCATTAACTCAGACTTTCCGTTCTGCGCTTTGAAGACAACCGCCATGATGAATATTTCCCTTACTATAACCGTGGGAATCTGTATTTGTATTGAATACAGCAAACGGCATTGGAACTCATTGAGGCTCTTTCAATGAGACATAAAAACGAAAATATTTTTCTCTGACAAAAGGTTCACGATAGATAGGCGACATTCTGAACTTGAAAGCTTCTTGAATAAAAAGCAGTTGGAGGAGGAAGTAATTAATGGTAGTCTGACGTTACTGATTGTGAATTGGAGATATCTTAGCGTAAAACTTGGAATTCCCCTGAGCTGAAGGATGTTAGAAAAGGAACCACTCAAACAGAATCATTATGAGCAGACCAAAAATAAGAAAAATCAGTCTTCATAATGGGTATTGAAGCGCAATACGGAAAATTAAGTACGGATTACTGACCGGTATACGAATAGACGTACAAAATTAGGACATGAAATAAAAGTAAACGATCTCACGGTAGAAGAATTCAGGTCTAGAGAGGATTACTTTTACGATTTTTTTGTCATTTGTTGGCTAATAAGCTGCTTCAGAATTCCCACTGAAACTATTCGCATGAACATGGTTTCAGAATTACTCTTTCCAGCTCTTAAGGTGTTTTGGCGTTAATCAATACTTTTTTTGGTATGCGCCCCGCATTCGACTTACATTCAGAATCGTAGCGGCGTTCTGTATGTGTATGTTGCCCATACAGTGACTTGGGGCAGGCAGCAGATGTACAAGTCCGTGCTTTTATCCACCCGGGCGGGTTTGGCACCAGTTAGTAGATCCCGTAGAGATAGACTGCTTGGTTAACTCGAGCTGCCATTGATCCTGATCCCCTGACCATGGGTGCGTGATAGCGCCATTTGCCACTACATTACCCCCTTCATCGAGTTTGAAATAAGAGGGCCGCTTGGTTTTTAACAATTACCAACATAATCCTGCTCGTCCATTTCTTTTTCAAACCTATTGTTAAAAAAACAACTTCAGCAACGAAAGTTAGTCCAAAGTAAAAGCGTGCTCGAACGACAATACCTGCTCAAGCGAACTCGTCTTAACAAGGACAACAACAGCACAAAAAACTGGAAAATGAGTAATGCCAAAAGTGAAGAAACTGGAGTAGTTGTTTTTTTCCCACCCGCTAAGAATTGGACTTTTCCTAAGCCGAACAACCCTCCACAACTACGTCGAAAAACTCGTGGGTATCTATAGTAGTAGCGAGACATTCGAGTTGAAAGTAAATAGCGTACATGGTCAATATGAAAGGTGTTTAAATGAGGACGGTTGTCAGTTATGGGAATGCTTGAGCTCAAATTTAGTGGTTGTCAATGAGCTTACAGCTTAGGCAGAGATAATCAACGGAATGAAGAGACTTACCCAATACTGGATGCTAAAATAAGCAGTACAGACCTCATGTCGAGGTCGTGACTCCAAATAATGCAGTGGTTGCCGCCTGCGCGTCGAGAATTCCACGTTGTAAACAGGCCCGGTAACCACACCCACCCACTTTTGGATTCATGTACTTTCCTTCGAAACGACCTTTTCAACACTTAATTGAACCGGTAAAACGAGTAATCACCAACGACTGTACCGACCCTCAGCGTTTACCTAATCTCAGATTGAGGTTGAACTCCTAGAGGAAGGGCTTCGACTCCTTTCGAGCCAGCGGTCCCGCAACGATCTCCCCCAATGGCACGTTGCCAATTTGATTTCTTCAGGTGTATGCGTGTGCCAACTGTGCCGACTTTCTTTATCTTTTTTCAATTATTCCATTATATAGACAGTATTTTTCCTTTAGAGAATTTTCATACGGTAGTGTTGGTGATGTTAAAACTTCATGAACATAAGTATCTAGCTTCCATGTGGAAATTTTTGAGGAATTCTTATTTCTTCAGATCACTCTTTGTTTTCCAGGGAATATGGCAGAAAATACGCCGGTGGCCAGTAGTGGAAGCAAAGTCACGTTCAAAATCACTCTCACAAGTGATCCGAAGCTGCCGTTTAAAGTGTTGGTTTTTAGATGTTTTCTTTCAATCAATTTCGTACCTAATGCTTATGACGTAATGAAAGCCACACAATTGTTGACGTTTTCAATGGCAGCAATAATCAGCATTTTCAGCCTATCAGTTCCTGAAGCTACGCCCTTTACCGCTGTGCTTAAGTTCGCCGCAGAGGAATTCAAGGTAAGGTTTTGGTCTGACTACATCCAGTGATTGGTTTTTTGTGGCTTCTGTTGTACTTATCATACTTTAGACTTTTCGAAGTCAAGTTTGTTGTTTTTAATTACGTAAGTAGTAGGACCCTTCATTTAGCTTTACGACATTGGATCCACATGCTTTCTGAACCTGCTAAAATTTTTCCAACATATAGGTAACATAGTCAAATTGCTTTTGTACGTCATGTAGTATCTGCAAAAATAATCATTTCACCAGAATAGTATTGGGCTTGGTAAGAATACTCTGTAACCCAAGACATAGCACCAGCTGCAGAATCGTAGAATTAGAGTATAGAGTTGAATACTTTACCTTAAAGTGAATTTTGGAAGAGTAAGTCGAAAAAACGTGAATTCAAAGACCTGTTAAATGCCAATTCTACTGCTGTTATTAGGTACTTAATCTAGCACAGGCCAGCATTTTATACTTTTCAACGACAGTACTCCATCAGCAGTACTAATAATCAAATGGCTTGACTTGTAGCAAATTCTGTGAGTTATTACCCAAATCATTTCACGGTGTTTCATTTCCAGCTCTTTAGTGATATGACGAAGCTATTATAAGCTTCAGATAGTTCCCACAAAACTGTAGAAATGGGTGGGTCATGAGAGGCTAGATCATTATAAAGGGTGAACTGATCAACTAAGAGGACTTACCTGAACGAATGCATACGTGGATTTTACGATCTGTAATGTCACCCATCACTTTGGATCCTTAAATTACAAAACTTTGGAAAAATCTCAACCGATCTAATTGAATCTCAGTATCTGCCGGTTTATGTTCCAATTATCATCCTACTTTATATAATTCGCTAAGTGTGTCTGTTGGTGTGTCGGTGTGTTTGTGTGTGTGTGTTTGTTTGTGTGTGTGTGTGTGTGTGTGTGTGTGTGTGTGTGTGTG